ATGTAGATCAAGGACCTCAGTACATGCATACCGGTATTCTGGTACAATATCATAAAATGCCCAGGGAGAAATATATACATGTACTAAATATATATGTCAAAACAGAATTGTCTGAAGGGTACCGGTAAATTTTTAAACCATGTGTGTCTTGTTGCAGACATGTAGGGAGTCTGAGCGGTAAATTTAAAAGCATCTCATGTTTTCTTTTCATTATAAAAACTACTTGAACGTATGTAATTTGTGAACTTTTTTGTTTCAACCAACAAAAGTGCTTGAAATCTAAAAATGGATGCTTAGTAACTAACCCGATGAAGTTTCAGCTCTGTGAATGCTGTATATTTTGAGAAACAGAACAAACACAATATATTCTGGATCTTGATTCTTTCAATTCCAAAGTTGCCGAGCCATATTTTGAATTGCGCCCTCTCGTGACACATTCCCGATATCAGCATTCTGGACATGATTCTCATTAAGCCGGTTGTCACCTATTCACGAATTTGCCCAATTGCAAACCAACTAGAATGCAGGGGGGGGGGGGGTTCAGATTCATGGACATTTCCAAAAATGTGTCACTTGACACATTCTTGGAGACGACCTTATTGTTTTTGTTTTCACAATGACAGCATGCCAGAAGAAATAATTTCACAGGGAGTTTTAAAGTGTCATTACTATCTTTAAACACCAAGTAAGCCTTGCACAATGTATTTGTAATGTGGTTAGTTACATTTTGGATAGCTGCAAATGTCTACTCTACCCATTTTTTTTAATGTATTTTTTTTTTCATTTCGGTTCAGTGACATCTCCGAAGGGCATTAGTGTACTGCCTATACAATTTCATGCACAATACATGTACATTTTGTCCCAGGTTTCATGAACAAATTTTGTGGATACGTGTGCGTCATCAGTACACCTGCTGCTAATGAACATTGGCTGTCTTTCTTGTTGAATTAATGGAAACCTTAATAATGAACACTCGTTAATCACGGATCCTCTTAGATGTACAATAATCAGCTGAGAACCCCGCTGGTATCCAGATAAGCTGCATTATTTCCCTTCGTAAAGGATTCTGTTTTGGATATTTTTTACTGAAAGTAATTTTTTTTGATGAGATTTGAAGTGCATAGACAAATCAGTGGAGATGTACTGTAATTTGATCAGCCTCACGTGACTTTCTAGAGAAGAATAGAAACAAGATGAGAATTGATGGTAGTTGAGATGATTGCATAATGTTTTCATAAATTGTACATGAAACTCATGACACTTGTACCAGATATAAGATAAATCCTCAATCAAATCCCTTTATGATACACATGTGCAAGCTCATTACAATTAGCCTCCTGAATATCTTCCAGTTTTTCCATATTATTTGTCACACTCACTAGGGGGTTAGGCTGCATCCGAATCAACTGCCTAGAGCTAGGTCTAGGTCTGCGCCCATTGAAAATACGCGGGGGCGCGTTGACAATAGACGTAGCCGTAGCTCTGGAAGCCTGTTTCGGATACGGCCTTAGCCTCAAGTGTGCATGACACATTATACACATATTGGGCCAAAAGTGTAGGATTTACAGGGATCCCACAAACATGGGAAAATCCTGGAAATCCTGGCATTTATTGAGCTAGCATGGTATACATTTACATAAAAAACACTCATTGCAGTTTCACTCAAAGGAAAGTACTGAAATGAAAGAAAGACATTTTAGGGCATATTGTGTCCTTTTTTTTTGTAATGCAAGTAACCACTTTTCCAAAGAGTGCCATGCTCAAATAATGGAATAATACAACTTGTTGTTTGTTGTCATCAGGGAAAAGCCTTGAATATTGGGTATGTTTATGCAAATAAAAATGAAATAGATAGCCCAACTAGTATGAAGACTGCATCACTCGGAATGTAAAAGGATGCAAAAAAGTGTAATGTGAGTAACCGTTGAATTGCCCACATGTACATGTATATTTTGAAGGACAGAGACGGGTACCGGTACGCGACGTACATGTACAAGCAAACGTGAACATCATGCTTCTGACTAGCAGACATCTGAATCTGCGCGGAGTTGTATTTATTTATCTATCATTTTATTTTACCAGGGTATCCCCATCTGTTGTCTAAGAACTGGGCCCAATTTCATGGCTCTGCTTACCGGTGGCAAAAAATCCCTGCTTTCTGTAGCAGAAAATTCTATGCTTACCGTAACCGTATTTCACAGGTAAGGCCAAAAAAAAAAAAGTCGGTCTCTGGTCAGCGCGCGCGTCGATTTTAATCATGCGCGTCAGTCTTTTTTTTTTTCAAAATGTTCCGCGGTAGCTCCAACAGCGCACCCTCTATTGCCGCACTTCCTCAATTTTTTTTACCAAAGAGCACCAAGGAATGGGAAATTGCACCAAGGCAAATGATCGAAAGCACCAAGGCAAATTATGGAGGACACCAATGTACATGAGGACACCAAAAAAGCAAAATAGTACCCCACCTTGTCTGTACAATCCAAGCTTGAAGAAGAAAAAAAAAGCCCCCCCCCCAAAAAAAAACCGCGTCGCCGCGTCAATTCCGGAACTTTGGTCTGACCAGAGACCGAATTTTTCTTTTTGGGCCTTAGCGAGGAATTTTGGCTTCTGCGCATGCGTCCATCCCATGACTCTCATAGAAAAGTCTATGCTTACCCTAAGCGTATTTCAGGGGTTAGCGAGGAGTTTTGGCTTCTGCGTATGCGTCCATCCTCCATGACTCTCAGGATTCTGTGCTTACAGGGTTAGCACAGATATTTTCTGCTAGTGCGGTTAGCACAAAATGGTGATCGTAAGCACGGAAGTTGGTGGTTAGCAGAGCCGTGAAATTGGTCCCTATTCCCCATGGGGCCCTGTGTTCTACATTATTTCAAAATAATTTGGTAGTTTTATTTTTGATGTTTGCAAATGTTGTATTTTCCCTTTAAAAGCTTGGAATCTAAACTTTATCTCTGGTAAGTATTGGTTTGATTTTCAAAAGGGTTTTGAAATGATTTGTGTTCATATAAAGGCATGTCAAAAACAAACTCAACCGATTTCAAGGAAAATCAATCATGTGGAAATATTGCTTCATGTTCATGATGTGACGATCTCGTTGCCTTTTACTTTCTGTGTTTTTTTTCTTATCGATCCACATAGACTACCCCTTAAATAAATTTACAATAGTGTTCTTCGTTTCAAGTTCATTGTGTTTTTAATATAAATCAACTTTTTTGGGGGAAGGTTATTTCAACAGTTTGTTGACTCTAGTTTGCATCTGATGTACCACATCATCGATTTTCCTTGAAATCAGTTGAGTTTGTTTTATATTAACACAAATAATTTAAACCTCTTTTAAATAGCAAACCAATACTTGCCAGGGATAAAGTTAAGATTCCAGGCTTTAAAATGGTATAAAATTAATATCGGTACGTGTTTCCGCGTCGACGCTAGAGCCTCGCAAAAAAAAGTTGTGGTTATTTTGGGACGCGCTGCACAATTTGCAATACATAAGTATATTCACATTGTGTGTCACATACTGATAAATGATGCACACGGTTTCATGTGCACGGAGCTCCTGTTCTAGCTTTTTGTTCATGATCCATAATTACCATCCATATTTGCCGTTTCCACTCTAAAATCATGCTTTTAGTGGAAGTACCTGTAGTGTTTACACGTTTCTCGTGCATTAATCGACCCTGCATTAGTCACCCTGTGACTGGAAAATCTATTCTTTTACCAATAAACATGCTTGTTAGGCAGCTGGCTCATTGCCAGGGATGATTGCCGTATTGTTTTACATATCATCAAAACATAGTCTATCAAATGTTCTCGTGTGTTATTTTGATCTGATGAGACGAAATTCATAACATTCGTGTAAGCATCTAAAAGTTTGCCAACAAAAAAAGGGAATATCTGTTTTTTCTTTTGTTTTTTGTTTTGCACTGGAATATACATGTAAAACAAATTGTATAATGAAATAAATTGTTTATTTTAGTGCTAACAGACAAACATGTACATGTAAAGATAAACGAAGAAATTAATATGAGGAATTTGAACAAGCCACCAATGAATGTTCAAGTCAATTTCTTATTTTAACTAAACTCAAAGAAGGAAACCAAGTCAGTTTCCCATTGTGGTATATATTTGTTTTTATTGTTACACGTTTATTTGTCTGGTTATGAAAGCATTTCTAATACTGCAGTGTGTGGCATTGCTCAATGTACATTCAGGGATGAGATTTGTCAGGATTTTTCCTGATTGCCGAATTTTGATAGAATCCCTTTTGAAATCTGCAGTCCCTGAGGTTACCATAAAGGCCTTTTTTACCTGTGAAAGTTATATTATAGAGAAATGGGTATTGTAAGGGAGCCTTGAGGCGAATACAAACATATCCGGTAGACCGTACATTACTCTATGGCCCTCGGGGACCCTCAGACCCTCCGCCAAATGCCAATTATTCCGTGAATCTTTCATTTCCTCCCAATCTCACCCCTGACACTACATTGTACATGTGTGCAGCGTGCAGCTTGCACGCTCGAAGAAACTTTGGAGAGAATACAATATGAACATGAATGTTTAATGTTCTTTGATTAACCCTAACTCCCTAGCGTCTTGTACTAGGAACTGGACCAATTCCATCAAAATCCATCAATCGGTGTGCGTCTCATACAAAACTGTACATGACATAGTGGAATAATCCACTGATGCACTGGTTGACATTCGTGGACTTGCTACACATGGCTTTTATCACAATAGCAGTACAGGAAGCTAGACAAAATCAATCGGATACCCCTAGCACTGCTTCAGGCCATTAGGCCCAAGTCCATCATACAATGTACTCCATCAATATTTAGTCACGCCAGGCCTTCTGGCATGTCTGGACCAAGTCCCCCAAAATCCAAGGGCCATAGAGTGAAGGTTAAAGTACCACTGCAACACGTTGAGTCCCTTGATTTATTGTGAACAAAATGAGAAAAGATTTCTCTCCTCAAGAGGATTTCCTACTTACTTCTTTTTTTCAGGAGAGACTTGTTGGTGGACCATCTATCCAGCGTCAAAACAAAGGTCAGAAGGAGAGAAAGTCAGGGTGGGAGACGATCTCATACTGGTCAGTGTGTCATCAGAAAGATACCTGGTGAGTTAAGTGCACTTGAAACTTGGTATGTTTAACGTTAGTGGCATGAGGTCATCATAGTTTGATTCAGACCAGAGGCCATTATCTTTTCCACTTCTGTGCCAGCGGAATGCTTTTAAAACGGATGCTGCCAGATAAAATATAGATGATTTCCGTGGGACTTGACCTTTGTTTATCAAAGACTTGGAAGCAAATAATCGCCCAGTTAAATCCCACCTTTGGCGGTGATTAATAAAGTTGCAATGGTCAACCACGTTCCAAAACCGGACGTCAAAACAACCCGATGAATATCATGACGAGATCCAGTAACTGCATGGGCTACCACGAACCATGCATGTTCAGTTTTGTCAAAAGACGTGGCCCTGCACTCTCAAGAGATTCCAAAGTTTGTTTTGCCGTTTGCAAATCGATACTTCGAGCCATTGGTAGTCAGATTCTCGTAAGTCTAGAGTCATGGTCATGGTGCACCATCATCATTAATGTTGAATGAATTTAATTTTGTTTGCAGGGATCAATTTATTTTGTTTCTGGAAAATCTCATCTTGAATGTTTTCCTGAATTATAAGTAATTTTGAAGGTTTTGGGGGGATATTTTACTATTTTATGTATGTATTTACTATAACTGAATCTTTTTTTGGGGGGGGGGGGGGTGGAGGTGGGGGGGGGGGGGGGGGGTTGGATCAGTACCCTCTTTTGTCTACACTTTGTCCTTGCAGTGCCCTTTAAAAAAACAACTGTAATAGCACCTATAGTCTGGTGCGTGTACACATATATATGTATGTCATATTTCAAAAATGTAATGGCTTCACATGCTCACTAAAATATTATAAACCGTTTTCCGACACAACTAAACATACAATTACTACATTCAAATTGTCTTCTCGCATAGCAAAATTCTTGACAGCTGTATGTATTTAATATACCTTTAAATTTGAAGTGGCTTTGTTGCAGAATTTGATGTTTTTTCCTGTCCCGTATTTCTGCAGCATCTTTCACCAGAGAAGAAGCAACAACCTCCCAGGGTGCAAGCCTCCTTCCAGCAGACGCTATGGACGGTGGCTCCCATCAGCTCCGGTGGTGTCAAGACAAAAGCAATGGGTAAGAAGAAGTTTTGGGGGGAAAAAATTAAAATATCTTGCATTGGGGCTCTGATCCCAAAATTTGCAAAAGTTCTATTCTTCTTCTATAAATCCCTAACCCCCTAATAGTTCCCCAGGACCACCCAGCTAAATCCAACCAAGTCCGACGGTTACTCATTAGAGTTTCCTGCTCAATCCAACACAGTCCCACACAACCCAACTTGCCAAGTTGTTGGGTACCTGAACATATAAAAATGACTGGCATGCTCAATCCAACAGAATCCAACTGTGCCTTATTTTTCTGTTGTCTGCTGGATCCAACAGTGTCCAACTTGGCGTTATTAACTAGTACCCAACAGAATCTGACTCTGAATGTTTTCAGTTGCCTGCTGAATCCTACAGATTTCAACAGGAGTATATACAGGGAGTCTACTGCTCAATCCAACAGGACCCACGGATATAGTTGGATCCTGTTGGATTGAGCAGGGTTAGGGTTTTAATGTTGCGCAGATAGGGTACACGTTAAAAGATATATTACAGAGTCCTTTTTATATATTGTAGGTTTGTAAATAATAATTTGATACCACATTTGAGGTTGTGATGTTTGTAGTTCTGAAGATTTAGTAAATTTTCCTGTTGAATCCATGTCCACTTTAGCGTGGAATTGCACGAATGTATATCAATGTTAATTGTGTTTGACATAAAAATCCATCAATCCAAAGGCATTACTTGTACAAATCAGTCGAATCCTGCAGCTCAATCCCGTCTGCTCAGATAAGCATCTTTTTACAGTGCTCAGAATCTGGAACTGGGAAGAGGCAAGGAATTATTCCGATGGTCTGGAGATGATGAAGATTTAGTCTCTTGATCCTTGGAGTCAGCCAGATATGTGATAATGTCCTTGATGTTTGGCTTGTTCATCTGATACCATCGCATCGGGAGATGCTCGCGCCTCCTGCAGAGATTAAATGTGACAAGCTCTGTCAAAACCAGACACTTGCTTGGCAGAGCTTGAAATAGAACCCCCCACCCCCCCCCCCCCCCCCCCCCCAAAAAAAGAAAGACAACGTGGTGCTTATTTTTTTTTGATTTTGAATTTTACAAATTTGTAATTCTAAATACCCCATAGGCCTTATGTCTAAAAATATACTTTAAAAGTATCATTTTGTATTAGGTTTCACCCTTCACTGATAAACACTGTATACTCTGTATGTTACCTCCCGAGTGAAATTTGGAAAAAGTCACTCGGGTGGGACTCTAACCCACGACCTCCTGCTTTTTAGTGCAGACGTCTTACCACTCGACCACCAAGGTTGCGTAATCGGTTGGCTGGTTCGAATCTGATGTAGCAGCGGGTACCGCAATGAAATTATTCATAAGATGGAATTTGCGTCGGGTGATGTAATTTAATATTGGGGCAAAACCTTAACAAAACATTAAATTCCATCTTATGAATAGTTATATTTTTGCCTCTAAACGTCATGAGGTGGAACGATTAAATCATAACCCGCAACTTAAATCAGGCAAAATTTTCCTCTTTTTTCACCTTTGTGAGTGATATCACAAGATTCAAATGTGCATAATTTTGCCAAGAAAAGTCTGTTTTTAAAAGTGAAACCATTAGTGTTAAGGCAAAGGTCTGTTATTTAACAATATTTAAAAAAAAAACCTCTTCTTCAACCAGCTGCTCTGAAGTGTCTGTTTTTTTGACAGGACTGAGTCACATGTGTGTGTGGTTTACGTAGACTTTAAGAACTGGATTTAATTCACTGAAGCCTTGGGCCGAATATCTTGCATGTGCGTATTTGCTGGTAAACTTCGGAACATTCCCTGCTGTGAGAAAAATGTGCCTTGGTCATTCAACTCTCAACATTACATCAAAAGTAGCAGGGAAAAAAGTCATGAAAAATAAAATGCAAGAACCTTTCGGATAGCTACAAATGTACATGTACTTATGTTCCCTTGTTGTGCCGGAACATCGTCTAATGATAGAAGCATATTTGCAAGCCTTACAGGGAAAACTTTAAAACCTACAGGTATTAACCTATAAAAACCTACATTTCACCTCGGGAGCATATTTTTTTTTTTTAAAGTAGCCTACATGTATATAACCTATAAAAACCTGTTTTTTATTCTGGCATACATTTCAACAATATTTTGTAAAGACAATTTTTTATAGAAGAATCAATTTGACCCACAGCTTAGTTATCGTAATTCCAAAATAACCATGTTGTCAGTATAGACCTGCCTCTCTGAGATTTGTTTTATAAGAGTTTCAGAATTTGGCAGTTTGCATGAAATTGGTAACTTTATCTAGTGTGGAGAACTCGAGGTAAGATATTTGCTAATTAAATGCTACCTCATGCTGAAAAATTGCACACTTTTGCATCCTAAAAACCAATAAATACCCAGATTTTGTCGATTGGAAACCTTTAAAAACTAAAGTTTGATTTTTGAAACCTTTTAAAAAGCAAATATTGAAGTAGAGGGACACCGTATGTGAGGCCTATATATGGCTCATTAATATTTACATGTAGGTGTAATAATAATTCTCGCAGCTCGTAAGGGATTAGGGAGGAGAAGAGTGTTGAATTCCAGCCTCCAAATCAATTATTCACTATGCTGTCCGACAATGATGCTTCAATTTGTCCTCGTAGCTGATCTAACCTTTGATTTCCAAATAGGGTGTGAAAAAAAAAACAGCAGTGCATGTTACCGGGAAATTGTTGTGTAAAAATGATGACCTACACTCTTCATTGTGCCAGAGTGTGTATATTAGACACAAAAAATGCCTTAGCAAATATTTTTAGCAAATATTTTAATCAAATATTTTAAGAGCCGTTTAAACGTTTAGCCATTTCACAAAGGCTGATGCCTGCCCATTTACATGTATGTCTGCAGCTGGGTGTGATTGACATGATAAATCAAGAATGATTGCTGTAAAAAAATAGCGTGTAGTCACTGAAAAAGTAAAAACTTAGCTACATGTATATGTACCTCGAATGTACATTTAATCAAAAAGTGCGGAGCTTCTAAGGTTTCAGATTAAATTGGTTTGATAATGTCATTTAGTATGTTTAGCTCAAGAAAGATCACGTGAACGTTTGCCCTTTTTTTATTTGGTTTTCGTTTAAATTGGTTGGAAAATGTGTAAAGGGATCTTTTTCATTTAAACATTTAAACGTGTTAACCTCACATCCTTAGTTTTGTGTGACACTGGTGAAGCCACACATGTTTACGTTACATACCAAGTGTGGACATTCCCTTGGTTTCATGTAGTTAAGAAAAACCAGTGAAAAAAAAAAATCATTTTTCTCAAACTGTGAAAACTCTTTCAACCCAAATTTTTTTCTATGATCCCCTTTAAGTGTTTCTCTTCATTTTGCCACAGATAAACCTAACCCAAAAATGCCTCTAAACCTGTTTTCCAGAAATGGGGAAACACTGTGTGGACTTGCCCAAGTCCACACAACGTCGCCTCTACCTGGTTTATGTGGACCTCTTTTGTTCGGAAGTCCACACAGTGCAATGTAATGCCTACCCACCCATCTTCACTCACATTTCCCTGTTGCGATGCATAGGCCGTACTGCAGTTTCAAACGTTAACTCTCGGGCATGAAAGGGAAGCGCATGTAATTATTTTTTGTAATGATCTTAATTATTTGCAGGGTTCCTGAACGGCATGGACGTCCTGAGGTTCGCTCACGGCCACTTGGACGAGTTCCTCACCGTGCCGCAGTCTGGTTGCCAGGAGGATGACCGCATCAGGTCAGTTACCATGGCAACATGGATACTCAAGAATGGCCAAAACATACTCGTACCCTGGAAATTCTTGGGATTTAAACAAATACTGACCAGTAGCTAGGTCACAATGAATTACATTCTTTACAGGGGTATTTAAGCAGAGGCGTTCCCCCCCCCCCCCCCCCCCCCGATTTTTTCATGATTTTTTTTTTCTTTTTGAGTGAAATGTTTATTTGAAAAAATTGCAATGGACAGTTTGTAGGAGTACGGTACATGTACCTGTTTAGTTCAATACATGAATGTAACATACACCTTACCTTGTTCTGGGGCTCTGTCGAATATTTTTCACAGATTTTTGTTTACTTTTCCTCAAATGTCAAACCAAGTTTTTGGAGTGTAGATTCTAGCAGAATTTTGACAGTCGGATGTTGCCTATAAATGTCATTTATATGAACCCAGATCTCTTGATTACTAGTGCAGACATCTTTAATCAACTAACCACATACTCAACCAGGGTTTTGTCCAAAACGAAGCTTGTAATTCTTTTTTCTCTCTTAAACTCCTCGACAGATCTGAACTTACACTGCTTCTAAAGTAACGTTGGTAAAATGCAAAACCCCAAAAGCAATTATTCCAATGCGAAATAGAACAGTTGGGTGAACATCTGTCTAAGTTTACAGTCTAGTTGTCAGTCTTGTGAAGCATTGCGACATAATCATACAAATAAGATGGGATCAGATGTGTTGGAGCCAAAACAATGGGGGGGGGGGGAGGGCTGGCATTTTGTTCAGTTGCTGAGCGCAGCAATGTGGTAATCACAGGCAATACTAGCTGAGTACAGAAGTTAGCACAGAATGGTGAGCATAAGTGCGTAATTATGTGGTTAGCAGAGCCGTGAAATTGAGCCCTCAGTGTAGTGCATGAATTTTCTGAGCAAGGTTTCTCTAGCAGTTCTATGACATTGGCCTCAGGTGTCTGTGTGATTCAGGGGGCAACATTTTCTCACGTCATTAGAGATCATGATTATTTTTTTAGGGTAAATTATTCATGTAGTAAAGGGGAGTGTGGCCTAGTGGTAATAGGGTTTGTGACTCATGATCGCAGGGTCAGGGGTTCAAATCTAGTTGCTTGCTACATGTACATGTATGTTGTGTCCTTGGGCAATCCACTTCACCCCCCACTTGCCCCTCTCCACCTAGGAGAGTGAACGTATAATCACTGCCTTATGGGGTACTGGAACAATGGGAGGTACCCCACAAGCAATGCCCACCGACTTGCGGGGTACCGTTTTGGTACCCCACAAGTTTTTCACGAAATACATGTAGATATATGGATTTTACTCAATAACTAGGATTTTCCAAGGTGGGTTGATCCGTCGCAAATGGAAGAGTTTTAGAAAAGGGATATTAAGTCCGAATTTCAGCCCAGGAAATTAATTCTGGTTAAAATAAGAGCATTTTGAAATTAGTGTGCGACATTGCAACTTTTTAGTACACGAGAACAAAGGAAGTACCCCACTTCTATGCCTGTAGTGTGTAAGCGTGTGTGTGTGTGGAGGGGGTGGGGGTGGGGGAATGAAACTTTGTTGGGTCAGGGTCAGGGGGGGGGGGGGGGGGGGCATGCGCCCTCCACGCCCTGCCGTAGCTATGCTGCTGTAACTGACAGAATGCTGTATAAAAGCCTCATTGTTTTAAGTACATGTGAATTTGATTAACAGAAACTGACCATTGATAAAATGTGAAACAATTCTTGCAATACAGTGTTAGTCATTTGTAATTGCAGGGTACTTCTTCGTATTGCATTCTATTTATTCCTTGATGATTCAATAAAACCATAGTCTGGTTCCCAGACCAAAAGATTCTGACTGTCCTGATGAATCTTAGGTCCGGTAGTCTCCGGTAATACATTGTATTACAATTTACGTCACGTGACTAAAAATTTCTGAAGTTTGCCGAATTCGTTTCGTCGACAATCGGATAGCGCCCGGGTATTTCCGAGTATAATATAGGTTAAATTAACTGCTAATTTTTTTTAAATGAGTTGATAATTAATATTCATTGCTTTCATTTAGAAAACTTGAAATTCAACGACGATTTTGTGCATCAAATATACTCGGATCGTATGGGCGAACTTTTTTGCTGCGTCATGTACAATTTTGAATTTGACGACCGTTACTGAGATTTTCCAAAACTCGGTCTTCATTCGGCTCCGCCTGCTAACAGTGCTATTTGGGTGCCTAATTTTGAAGATTCCAGATCAACATTAGTCAATGTTATCTTACAGAAACATCAAACTGTATTATCATAACTGTATGATATTACGAAGCAAGTGATTTACTTAAAAATTTGATCAGATCGAACATTAAAAGCTAAAAGTGATAAAGCGAAATCGGAAAGAAGCCGAGCTTTGAAAAAGGGCCATCAATGTCCAGACTAATAAAACCAAAGCATGCTCAGGCACAAGAGGGAGTAATACCGGTAGGAAGGGCCGTTTGGGACAGTACAGTGACTAATGGGTCAACATATTACGCATACATTGTAGGATTAATTATTAACACGCAATTGATTGTTTGCTTACATTAACTAATTAAATAGTGTGAAAGTACTTTCTATACAGACGCTGGTATTTTAAGTGCCAGTGAGGCAAATGACATGTGTTCTGTACTTGCATGATTGCTGTTTATGCTGGAGACCTGTCATGATACATGTACGCGAGGACACCAGGCAATGCACTTTATAACCCATTAATGCCTGTACTACATTGTATTACATTGTATTACATTGTGTTCATTCACTGATCAATGAATGATAAAACCATAGCATGTTCGGGCAGTTTTGGGTGGTTTCGGGTGGTACAGGGAGTAATGGCAGGGCGGTTGGGGCTGCTAGAGTAGGGTTAAAACTTGGGAAGTTTTACTAGTTGCCATTGACAATGACAATGGGAGATTTTTGAGACAATTGGTGGCAGCATACACAATGGTCCTTTTCAATTGTTTATGCCATGTTTCAAGCTACCGGTAGTTTGAGTTTAAATATTCCAATTCTTTGACCCTGGATGTGAGGTCATTATGACAACAGATGCACCAGCTATTCTCTGACTCTCTTAGTGGGATGTTGAGGCATGGTCCGTTCTCAGTGGCTGATGACCTGGCCAATAAGTTCACCTGGGCAGGCTGTGGTGGTCTGTTACCCCGGTGATGATGAATTATTCATTTGACTAGGGTTGTGCATTTTCGCAAAATTTAGTGTTTGGTTATTCCAATTTGGACTTGGTCAAATATCCAAATATTCAATTTCGAAATGCACTTATCAAGTTAAAGGGAATGTACATCATTGGCTTTTGCTGTAATTTTCAGAAATGAACTGTTTGAGGGTTAGTATAATAGATCCAAAAAAATATTTTATACTGCCATGTTTGAAGTTTTGTGTACAAAAATGCTGGAAAAACCAAGAAAAACAAAAATATTCAAGTAGTCTGGTTCCCTGACTCCACTAAAGATGAAATGAATCAATTTATAGATGCCGGAAAATTGTAAGGTAAGGGAACCAGTCTAGCTGGCCTGCACCCGTTCATGAACATGTAACCGATAGCAAACAAAATTAAGACTGAAAAAAAAAAATCGTAAATTTGGAGCAGTAGTTGAAAAATAGTAAGATCTTTCCAACGGTGGTCGGACGACCGTTGGAAATGTATACAAAAATACCATTTTCTTGAAAATGACTTCACACCAGGTGCCATAATTTTACAGGATGCTTTAGACTGTCATTTACCAACATCCTAGTGAGGTATTTCGTAAAAACTTAAAAGAAGAAGTAGTGGTGGATGATATTTGACCGATTTTAAAGAAGAAATTTGAGTTAATATCCCTCATGGAAGATCTCTCAAATGGTGCGTGATAATGGCTTTCAACAAAAGTGTGGCATTTGGCAAGCAATAAGACTATAAGTCTCATTCATGCGTTTCCATCACCATCTCGAAACCGTTGACATTTGTTCAAATGTTTGAATTGAAACATTCTACTTGGATATTCGGTTGATGATCGAATATTTGAATATTCGGTACACAGCCCTACGTTTGATTCTTGACCTTAGTCGTGTAGCTATATTCAGTTGTTGAATGTTTGCTTTTTTTTTCTTCTTCTAGTGAGGTATCCTACGAGACAGGTGCTGTGTCCTCATTTGCAAGATCCCTGTGGCGGATGGAACTGCTCGCCAAAAAGTAATTAAAATATCATTAAAATACCCTAAAACTTAAATACAAAAACTGTTTATTAAGGTAATGATCTCCTTTTGTAAATATTTTTGACAAATAAAATTGATTAGTGACAGTATTCAGGGGAGCAGAATTCCTCAAAAATATTGAAAACTGTGGTGTAAAACCATTAACCAAACCAAGATGAATTGGAAGAATTCAGTGCAGCATTTATCTCGGCTTCATGAGTTTGCCAGCGTGGCCACTCCTTGGGTTTTCTTCCCAAGATCTTGGGAATTTGGGCAAGGCCTTGGGAAAGGTTCACCAGACCCCTTTGGATTGTTTGCATATTGACTACGCAAAAGTGAATTGGATCGTTGCTGTTATTTTGATACAGCAACCTGAAGTTTTGAGAAATCTTGGGAATTTTTTCTATGGTCATCTTGGAATGTTCTAATTTAATGGGTGGCCATGCTGGAGTTTTTCAGAAATAATTGGATTTTGACTGTCCAAAGGAACATTTTGTGAAATAATGACATTTAGAAGAGAACAAGAAATCTAGTTTCGTGGTTGTATGAAAAAATTAAGAAATCAAAAAATTAGGGAAAATTTCATTCCAAGTCATCTTTCGTGATAATGAACTCTTTAAGTAATCACAAGCACCATATATTTGCATATGGAGAGCCAAATCTGACAAACTTTTCCTGACATTTTTTTGTCATGATCCAGATGGAATGGCAGCTATGTATCCTGGGGCCAGGACTGCCGAATTAGACATGTCACATCAGGTAAGTATTAAACAAATTGAGAAAACAGTCATTAGAGTGAACTGCTTCAGGCCACATTTCTTGTGTCTGCATCGTGATTAGCAGAACTGTGCGAGCTGTTGCAAAAATATTTGCACTAACTTTTGCAGAATAATTTTGCTTGGTGAGTTATTCTAAAAATTTGGGGTCCACTTTTTTTGCTGTCCCTGTTGCATCTGACAGTGATGATTTTATAATTCTTATTCACTCCTTAATGCAGTCGTCCTCCAACAGTGATTGTGAATAACAAGAAAATTAAAAAATTTTGACTTGTTTTGACTTTTGGACCGAAACCTTTTGATTTTTTTGACAGAAAAGGTATTTATGATTGAATGGGAATAGATATGCTTGGCCGGTTTGAAACACTAAGTTTAAGACCAGTTGGAGTCTGGGAGTCTGGATGCCGATAATTACCCTCGTCCATCAGAATTTAGACTCCAACAACTCTTAAACAGAGTGCTTAAAACTGGTTAAGCACCCATTTATTCCCGTAGTAAAAATCTGCCTCCGAAGTAATGTACGCGTAATGGTGCTCTTTACTGTGCTTGTTATGCTCTCCATATTAATGGATGAAGTTCTGTTTGCAGAGACTCCAAGAGAGCTAGATAATGAAATAGGGCACTGATTCTTACCCTGACAATCTTATTCTAGAATTTAAACTTGATGTATTTTTTTTGGCCATAGATTGTTTTTCCACCCTGCTTTATATGGATGTATAAAATGTACATTTGTAAATATTCTTTTATTTACATAAAACCAAACTTATAGTTCAAGTTTATAACATATAGCTTAAAATAACTTGGGAATCTTAACAAATATTTTTTGACTTGCTGTTGACCAGTGGCGTATCCATTCCCCCCCCCCCCCCCGGAGCATTTTTGCGTGTGGTTTTTTAAATGAAGGTTCAGACGTTTATACAGTAAAGTCTTAATTTTGCCCCCCCCCCCCATCCCCGGCATAAAAGCTGGATACGCTAAGTACTGCATTAGACTTCCATAAGAAACAGCACTTTTAAGATGTAGAAAGAATTTTGAGAGAAAACTGATGCCTGAATATAAAATGCTCAATATAGAATTTGCAGTTGATGAACGAGAATGTAAATACCTAATACACTTCATTGTTACAGAAGTTCAGCATCTCAAGAAATGTCTTCAAATTGTATAATGTCCTGCCTGTAGGCCTATACATAACCAGAAGTGCAACAAGAACAAAAAAGAATAAGAAAAAAACCTTTCTCAAATTTCTCTTAAAGAAGCGTGTGTATTTGGCTTTTGCGTAAGCTATCTACCCGATTAGTAAATGTCAAGGCTCTGTGTTATTATCCCCACGTGCTTCATTATTGTCGGCACAGAGCTTGGTTCGTTCATCCTTGGTTCTATTTTCATAATTACTTGTGTCTTGTGCAGCATCACAACATTTACTGCCATCAGTGGAAATTTTGAAAAGCAAAAAAAAATTGAGTTAAATCGGTAATCAATTTTGCATTGCACTTGGAAAGGTTGTATTTGTGTTGTGTAAGTGCATGTGGTACCGGTACATGTGCATATTGGAAAAGCGTTAGCATTATAGACACAATGATAAGGCCAAAAAAAAAATATTCGGTCTCTGGTCAGACCAAAGTTCCGGAATTGACGCGGCCACGCGGCTTTTTTTTTTTTTTTTTTTTTGCTTTTTTTTTTTTCTTCAAGCTTGGATTGTACAGACAAGGTGGGTACTATTTTGCTTTTTTGGTGTCCTCATGTACATTGGTGCTCTTTGGTAAAAAAAATTGACGCGCATGATTAAAATCGACGCGCGCGCTGACCAGAGACCGACTTATTATTTTTTTGGGCCTAAAAGAGGAAATATTGAACCTTAAAGGCAGAGTGGACCATTTGCAGCTATCCAAAAAGTAACGAACCAAATTATTGTGAAAAAGCTTACTTGGTTCAAAGATAGTAATGATACTAAACTCCCCCTGAAATTATTCCTCATGGCATGCCATCATTTTGAAGAAAACAGTTCAAGAAGGTCATTTCCAAAGATGTGTCAAGTGACACATTTTTGGAAATTACTGTGAATACCGCCCCCATGCGATTTGTGGTTGGTTTGTGATTGGGCGAATCCGTGAATGGGTTCAAGCGAGCCGAATCGACCTCATGTTCCGAATGCTGATTTTGGGATTGTGTCACGAGAGGGCGCAATTCAAAGTATGACTCGGCAACTTTTGATTCGAAATTGAGATCCAGAATATTGTGTATATCTTTGTTCTGTTTTCTCGAAATATACAGCATTCACAGAGCTAAAACTTCATCAGGTTAGTTGTTGAGCACCCGTTTTAAGATTTTGAGCATTTTTGTTGCTTCAAACAAAAAAATTTCACAAATTACAAATGGTCCATTCTAAAATGTGTTTATTTCAATGTATTTCTGTGTATTTATTTATATTCTTTTGATGTGTTAGCCCAGTTCATACTCGAATGCAATTTTGTGGCATCGCTGGTTCGCTGCAAATATTTGCACTGCAAATTTGCAAAACAAGGGAAGACATTCCAACTCCAAATTGATGATGTCATGACATTCGTGACGTCAAATGCGCTTTGCTATGACGTTTACTTAAGGTGCGACTTTGTTTTAAAATGTTATGCTGCTTTGTCCGAGGGGAAAAAATGCCTGAAAAAAAAATGTGAATTTGTTGTTTCTGGCTCACGTTTGATCTTTGTTATTTTGTAGGGAAATATCTATCAGTGTCGAGCGAAGGAGACAACGATGTGTGCATAGTGCCACGGAGAACGGCAGACCTGCCCTCCACCGTGTTCTGTCTTCAACAATCAAAGGTTAGCCAAGATGAATGGCCCGGGTGTGCTTCGGCAAACAAATTGGCTCGTTTGTCAGAGGCATTACAGAGCTTGTGGAGCATCTTTCCCTTTGAAAAAGAAGAAGATAGTTTGCTTGCTAGCCAGTTTCTTATTTGTCTCATTAATGATTCCACAAATTGGAGCCTTTGCTTGTGTTAATGGCCATTTCCATCCAAGTAAATACATGTAGCAGACTTTTGGCATTAAAGTTGGACTACTGTCATAACCATTCAAAAGTTCTTTTCACTGCTCAATCCCAGAAAATTGACTCTGGACAAAGGGAGCATTGGCTTAAATAATTACAATTGTTACTGTATAATATTTTGGCCTACAGTCCACCCGTCATTGATTACATACCGGTACCACACAAACGCATGGGTAGCACACCAACAAAAATGCGTTGGGAGCTACGTAAATAAAAAAAACAATGTTATTCACAAATTAAGTGCGAGTGTACAATAAGCTCTGGCCGTCTTGGATGAAAGTCTTGCATGAAGTCTATCAAAGTGATCTTGGCCAGAGCTTAAAAATGCGCCGCTCAAAAGTGCGAAGCCGATGGCACACATGGAACACCATACAAGTACGAGTGCACTATACATGTAAGCTGTGGCCATCTTGCATGAAATCTATCAAAATGATCCCTGCCAGAGCTTAAAAGTGTGACGCCAATGGCACATATGGAACACGATACTTAAGATTTACGCCTAGATTTATAGTGATTTTAATACCACGTGACTATAACATTACTGCACATATTTGGCCTCCATTCACAAACTTTTCATAAACATATTTCTGATCAAACAATTTTTTTTAAGTATTTAATTTATTTTGTTTGCTTTTTTTGAAATCAAAATTGGGTACATGTAGTTATATTTTAGAAACTAGGGGGGGCTAATTTTTGTCAATTTTCTGGGGATCGACCGAGCAACCAACCACCAAGTGACATGAAGAAGCTCCTGCCAGAGCTTCAAAATACAGTAAAACTTCGATAAGTCAAGCCTCAAGGGAACAAGTTCAAAATTTGACTTAAGCAGAGTTTTGAGTTAAGCAGGGTTTTATATCATTGTTTTACTACTGAAGGGATTGGATTTGTTGTTTGACTTAACAGTTGTTTTGAGTTATCAGAGTTTGACTTATCGAGATTTCACTGTGTTCCAACTTAATTCATGTGTGGCCAAAAGAAAATCTGAAAACGTTTGAGTCCTTATCTCTCACTGCAAAATTAATATCAATAGCCCATTTTGAACAAAAAAAATTGGCAACTTTTTTTCTATTCACCAGAGGGTGAAACATGACACAAAACTGCGCAGACAAAATAAAACAAATATTATAATCAAATTTGAGCTGTCACTTGTAAGCGCATCAGATTTACTTAGATTGCAACCATAGTACAAATTTTGACTGGAGACATCTGTTTTGGTTAGACAGATGTGATTAGCGAAAGGAAAATGTCTGTTTGACCGCAGTTTCACCTTTGGATACATTGTTTGCAAAACAGGGCTTGCATTTGAAATGCCAGCTTTTCTATACAGGATGGTCCAAAACAAAAGTTAACACTTTTTCAGAGACAGATTTCTTATAATTGAAATAGTTTTAAGATATTCCAATACAAGATCTTGGTAGTATATGGTAAAAACAACGCTGAAATAGAGCTCAAGTTAAGAAAAAGCGGCCATTCACTCTCAGGCACAAATTGTTGATGAAAAGTCTCCTTTAAAAATTGAATTGAAACCTCAAACTTGGCTGGTGAAATACTGAGGACCTTGTCTTTTGCCTCATGAAACTTTTAGAGAATTTTGTTGGCTAAAGGGTGAGTAAAGCCAGATTTTGTTTGGCATGTTTTTCTGCACTCACGGCCCCAGTCTGGACGCATTAGGGATTGTGACCGGTGTTGTGATACACTCGACTTCAATACTGCTGAGTAGTAAAAAGAATAAATACATTAACAAAATGAAAAGAAATTTCATACTTTTTTTAAATTTCAAATAGGAGGATACTGGACATAGCAACAACAAGCACGAACAAGGCATGGGAACTGCAGAGATCAAATATGGCGACTCTACGGTGATAATCCAGCACAGAGATACAGGACTGTGGTTATCCTATCTGGTAAGATTCTTTTCTCTTTTGCAACTTTCCACCCCTGAAAATGCAACCAAACCCCCCCCCCTCCCAAATTAAAGTAATGGGAAAACTGTTGACATTAAAGAAAGCTCAGAAAGAGCTTTCTAGTGGTGTACACATTCTGTTTGTAGTTTATTGTAGATCGCTGAGAAATATGGGAAATATTAAGTTTAAAAAATATATCTTCCATGGTCAGTCTGTTGAGTTTACTCGTGTTGGGATATAAGACCTGCTCTGTGAAAATGACGTCATAAGTTGCTCATGCATTGTTTGTGATTCACAAGAAAAAAATATTTTATGCTGTATATTTGTCTAAGTTCTTATACTTTAAGGAATAACGAAAAGTAATGTTAAGAATAGAATGAACAGTATTAAATATTAAAACAAAATGATAGAGATTTTAATTAAATATTCTGCAGACTCTCCCCTGGAAAGCATTCAAGAAAACGTGCTTTGTAAGACAAATCAAAACTTTAGGTTTTGTTAAAGAAAAGCAAATGCCTGTGTCATTAATAATTATTAATCGTAAAATTTCCTTTTCAGTCAAATAATCAACTAAAAATGTTTCAAGAAACAAGTCTTGTAACATCCATTTTCAAGAAAACCGTATGTTTAAGCCTGGAATGTAATCTCACAATTTGGGCGATTCACAATGCAGTGTGCCACCAAGAGTTTGCCACAGAGAGTTCATTTTTCCCAGTGCATTGTGGGAGATGGCCGACAAATTCGCAGAGCGGGACATTTGAAATTGTTCGTTTTCCGGTCAGTAGTTCCATAAGCGTATCATTCGAGTATATGTTTGGCCTTTTCTTTTCTTTTTTATCAATATGGTGATTTTTGGTAAGGCGGCAGAACGCTATGCCCAAATCTATATCAAATTAGCTCAAATTGTCTACTGACACTCATTCAAATGGGCCATGTTTTATCGACCATAAAGTTGAAAAGTTGACTCTCCATGGCAAACTCTTGGTGGTGCACTGCATTGTGAATCGCCTGAATTATTGTTGATTCGGACATTTTTCCGGAATTCGTGAGGTTTTACAGTAAAGGTGTTTTCTCCTATAAAAAAATTATAAAGAACAAAGAAATTGGCATTTTAAGGGCTGCTTTAAGGCAAATTCATACAAAGTTATACCGTACAGGGTGAGCCAGAATGATCTTGACCCGAAATTGAAGACAATTTTTAAAAATATGTAGCAATTATCAAAACCAGTGCAAATGAGATATGTTATAGGCTGGTATTATGGACTTAATTGGTGAAAGTTTCATGTATATCCATTGTACCATTTTGAAGACAATCGCTAGCAAAGAACACCTTCAAAAAAACCCTCTGACCACGGTTCCATGGTTCAACAAATTGATGGAAATCACGTACTGATGTGAAGCAGTGTAATAACAAATAAAAACCTAGTCATGGTGACTGACTCACTTGAAGCTATTGACACATGTAAAAAAGGCAAAACCAATTCCGTGTGCAGACTGGAAAATGAGCCACTTCAATGAAAGTGGCATAACTCCTCACCACAGCCACTAATTTGAAAAATTCAAAATTCCTGTGGAAGACAAGGTAATAACCATTCATACATGTATGATACACTCAGTTTTTGTCTCAATATACTCTATTTGCCACAAAAAAAAAAAATGGTGAACTTGGGTCCAGATCATTCTGATTCACCCTGTAGACCCCATGTTAATCTGGGGGCCCTCGGTGACCCCCAAATCCTCTTGCCGAATATCTCTGATTATCTCGTGGATTTCTCATTTTGCCCCAATCTCATCCCTGCCTTGACTATATAATCAGTAAGAAACATGTCACCAAATATGGCCGACGTGTGGTTATTCCATTTGACATTTATCACTTGGCCCGGGCTTTGCTTGCCTCATGCTGGGTAAGACGGCACGACCACACGCGGATTCCATATCAGCTCCTAGTTTGACATTTTGACGGGATTGACTCATCATCATCATTGGCCACCGTATCTTTACCAATCCTTAGTAGCCTAACTTTCTCAAGTCTGTGTTGACAGGATGGCAAATCTAAAGAGAAAAAAAAAGAGAGAACGGATGGCGAGTGGCCTTGCGCAGATAATGATGTTCGCAAGTGACCTCGCTTCAGTATTCCTTTACGGAGAGTCGTTTACAATTTCTGCATATTTTTCCACGTTTGTGTGGGAGCACAGATTTTTCCAGCTGTCCTGCTGGGGTGACAGCGACCGTAATGGCATGGGATTAGGATAGGTGATAATGGGCACCAGTTTCAAGCGGTTCACATTCTGGACCAATAGTGCATTGTTCATCTGACCTACCTTTGAGGATTGCTCATGGAGAATCATTCTAAATTTGTGTCAAGAAAATTGATTTTTTTTTTGGAGTTTGGTAATGGAAAAACCAATCCCTCGGCCTTTAACCCAAGATTTCTAAATAATATATTCTGCAGTTGTATTTGTAAATAAACCCTCCAATGCAAGCATACAGTCTGTGCCAAGTTGTCCTTTCAGTCAAAATCAATCGAGTGACTGTTTTCAACAGTTAAGTGCTCCCAGCGTACACAAAGCAAGATTGACATGCTGTGACTGTTTATGTAACTTGGTAAACCTGTACTGTACATGTAGGTGATTAATAAGACAGCGATGCCACCAGTATTTTGCTTTTGTCTGTTGACTGAATTTGACTAGTCAGAGTGCTTGCTTGAAATATGATATGACTGTTTGTGACTGGCCTGTGTGAAAGGCATAACAGGCAAAGTGGATGGAATTTTTTGACTGTCTGTGACTGTTAAAAGAGAAGAAGGCTTAATACAAATGAACAACATGTCAGTTGGAACAAAGTGAGCGTTTGTAAAAATTTTGGGAGCTGGTGGCACCAGAAAGGGTAAACATCAGGAAATCCTCACAGATAAATAAAAAAAACCCCAACAATTCGGAAAGCCTAGCGAAACTGGTCCCAAACCAGTGTCAGAGCGTTTTCGAAAGGACTGGCTTTGGCTTCGTCTACGACTTACTGAGATTTTAGACCCCCCCCAACTTCAGGAACTAGCTCCAGCTACATTTTGGTGCCTGTTATGCTTCAGGAACATTCAATCAGTTGATATGAAGCCAAAAGGTGGAATATTTCCATCAGAAGTCAGAGGCAAAGCCGAAGACGAAGACGAAGCAAAGGTTTCGAAAACCCCCTTAGTCACAAGTCAGTCAGTCAGTTAGTGAGATACGTACAAAGAGGACACTCAGCTGGCCCTCGGGAACCTGTTCAAAAAGTTTGTAAATGTCATGTTTCTAGTTCTTTGCAGTGCCTAGATCTTTAGAGGATTGGGCTGGCTTGATCAAGGCAGATAACAGGCACTTATTACCTCCGCCAGGGAGGTTCTGTTTTCATCGGCGTTTGTTGGTTTGTTTGGTTTGGTTGGTTGGTTGGTTTGTCTGTTAACAAGGTAACTCAAAAAGTTATGGACGGATTTGCATGAAATTCTTTTTACAGGTGGTCCTTGGTACAAGTACAAATCGATTAGATTTTGGAAGTGATCCGGATCTGGGTCTGGATCCAGGATTTTTTTTTTAAGGATTCTGCACCATTTATCCAAGTATTTCTGTTTGGTGTACTGACAATATGAAGGGGAATTGTTTAGTCTTGGCGGAGGTTTGCGCTCTCTGAGTGCTTTGTAGTATCTTACATAGGACTTTCTGCACAAAGTTATGTGCCATTGGTTGCCCTGCATTGACTGCAGAAAGTCTGCATATTAAGCTGAAACTATCATCGTCATTTTGAAAAGAAAATAACTTCATGTTGAATTGTTTTTCAAACTGTTTATTTATTTATTTTTTTAGACTGAAAAGCACATACACGTAAATGACTTTGTTCGCATAATTTGTGTTAGTCATAGTAGGGAGATGATATGGAATGGTGGGATACTATTTATAGCTTTTTTAAGTAAGACAAAATTTACCACATGTATGCAGACTGATCTGACGGATCTGATACTGATATTTTCAACACACATTTGTATGTAATGAAGTTGCCCTACAGTCAACCGGTGTAGGCTCATCGAGTTGCCCGGATGGATTTCAGGTTGCCAAGGGCAACTGCAAATTTCACACCGAGACGAGGGATATATACACACTACTGGCAAGATTTTCATCTGCCATACATGTACATGTTCACTGTACATAGTACATGTCTAAAGGTTTCATCATACATGTAGGCTTCATCATAATGAAATGGATATAACGGATATGGGAAATTTGGACTTCGAAAAACAGTTTTTGAATGATGAAATACAGATTGGAACTGTGCATTAAAGTAGCTTTTCTTTAATTAAGAGGGCATACTTATAACCTATTAATTATTAACTTATTAATTGGTAGGTTCATTTATTGATTTTATTAAGACTTACAAGATTGAATTTATTAAGATTTGAATGTAACAAAAAACACAATACATGTACACGTACAGGCTGAGTCGGAAGGATGGGTACCCGATTTGAAAAAAAAATATTAAAAACATTTTTTGAAGACAAGGGTTGAAAATAGTACATCATTTGAAACCCCTAATAATTAGCTGTCATCTGGGGAAATGGGCAAGACGATACGACAAAATTTCTGAAAGTCACATTACCGTGTGTCGAAAAAAATAGGGGAAAACAAACATGTCCACGGAATACCAATATGAAGTTTGTGTTGGTTTTACTACGGGCTAGGTGTGAATGACATACGCACATGAATGGAATCCCTAATCATTCTCAGTCATGTGAAAGGAATAACAAAATGAGATGGAAATGGTTTCAGAAACCTGTAGTCATGTCAAATGTTTGTAATCTATCAGCTCTGCAATACTCAGAAACATGTTGATTAAACAATATGATATTTTAGCCTTATTCAGCCTGAGTGATCCGTGAACAAAATTGATTTTCAAGAATTTTTGGGAGCTACCCAACCACAAAAGCAAAATTGATGAAACAAAAATAAGGTGATTGCTAAATCCTTGTAGTTTGT